GTTAGATGAAACTGTGAAGCAGGATAAATTGATTAATGCAATGGCTATACCCATACAAGGAAGAAGAGCAATTGAATAAGGACGGTTGCTATTCAATTTTTTGAGCATGACATCAATAGTTCCACCCGACTATACACATTACAACTAGCAAGTGCCATCCGACTATGAAATATTTCGGGTAGGACAGCATAATCAGGAGCATTCTTAAACAAAGTTCCTTTAGGAAAAAGGTGATTCCTTTGGTAAATGCCTTCTATTCCAGTATTGAAGTATATTAATTGCTCAATGATCAAATGTAACAGGCGGTCATTATAAAGATTCTTTATTAACGTATCATCTTACATATTTTGTGAACAATAACCATCAGTTTTAATCGATCGTCGTATACTAACAATACTCTTTTTGTAAATGAATTATCATTTTCTCCCGATAATTTTATAGGATTAGACCTGAAAGATGGATGGTTACCTTGGCAGTTGCTTCAGTCTTAAGAGGATCTCAATGAGACTCGCAGATATGAAAAGTTAAAAATTCGAATTAATCATCGTGGTGAAATAAAATCGGTCCAAGGATCAGTTCAAATGACACCCGAAATCAACGGATCGTAACCGTCACATGTTTAAATTCATGGCTATTTCACAGTGATGGAAACGATTAAATTTTTGAGCAAAATGTGATTAATATTCAGAACTATTTTACTTTCAACTTCTCGCTGACGTTAATTTCGCCATTAGAGTCATTCGATTTACGCAACGCATCGTTCAAACTGTTAATTTCACCGAGTAACGCTTTTGTTTCCTTGTCGAGTCTTTGTAAATCCGTTTGAGTATCTTTCCCAGCCAAAATCTAGAGTGTGCATCAAGCAAGAGTTTACAAATCTACGTATCTCATCTTTTCGGTGTTGAATCCGTTTAGCCGATCATACTGTTGCACTTCAAATTACTCTGTAAAGCGAAGAAGTCACCTTCAGGTTGTCTATATTCACACGAGCCTTCTGTAATGCATTTTCACATGTTGACAGTTGCTTTGTGTATACCGATAAATTCTTTGTGATCATTTGCTGAAAAGCGTTTTTTTTTACATCAAATGATTATCAGTTTGTAAACAAACATTCTTTCAACAGCCTTTCTGGAACTGTAATGAAAACTGGAAATCATTTGAGGTGCATCGCAACTCAATGAAAGATCACATTAGCTAAAATGGCTGTTACAATGTCACTCTTGTGAATGAATTATCATTTTATGATGCTGAATGTAAATATAAATTAATATCATCATAAATAAGAATGTAGGACACCTAAAATTACAGTGCACGTTCTAGAATTGTGAGAATCATGCGCTAGGAAGCACCGAAAAACAGTTAGGCACGTGCATGATTTTCACGTCGTCTGAATGCTCGACAAAATCGGTCAAACAAATTAGCATCCTCGGCAGTTTTTCAACATCAGATTGCATTCGCCGGTGAGCGAAAAGTCTGAATTTGACTGAAAATATAGGAATGCGACAAGCAGAGCGCATCTGATGCCTGGAAGGCGCGCAAACATGGCCAGTCGAACGCCAGTCAACTTGCTTCGGTGCACGCTAACTCTCAAAAGGTTCTCGGATTCGATTCTGACGACAAGAATCACTCGATTGATTACGATCGAGTGATTGTTCCTATCAGTACTTATCAGAGCGACGAATTTCTAGTGAATATCCTATTTGCAACTATGAACTTCTTCGGAAGTGGATAGCAAATTAGTTTGGTCCTTATCGAGATCTCAAATTTAATCACCTTTGTTTCATTTACATCGTTAACATTTTCTGCATTCGTGTTAATGACAGGAGATGAGGGTGCAGGCAGCACTGATGATGGTGATACATTGGTCAAAGGACTGTAAGAAGCATCATTCAATCAGATTCTCCAGACTGATGCATATTTATAGACTATATCTGATATCCAATTATAAGAAAGCAGTGGGGTGAATTTCGAACATGCAACCAATAGATTCTGACAATCCAAAATTTTCCATGGATGCCGACGAGAATACCAAAATTCCAAAAATCTCAGCTCGTCTTCATATTCAGTTTCCTCGCCTCAATATTTGCTGCAACATTTCAAAGGATATTTTAGCAGTCATTGAACTGCATACTACGATATTTCCACTTGTCCTCATCAAAAAGATACAATATCGAACCGTATTTTCGGCATATAAACGTATTCGGGCTTTTCTCCAAGCGGAAACATCGTCGTATAAGTCCATCGCGAGTACTCGTTACCACCTCGGACGTATTGCGATATGAACAACTCTTGTGTTGGTTCATTTCCAGCAATTGTACGCGCGATTGTACTCATACCAGTTGTCTTCGTCTCTTCTACCGTTGGCGACGTTATTGTGGTTGACGGCTAAACGAACCTTTAGTTACCTTAAGCATTCAGTTCAAAACTTCATGGTTTCGCCAGCAAGCACCACATCCAGTGGATACAATGGAAGGGATTCTGGATCAACATTATCCAGCCCTTTCTATTCAATTGTAAGAATATTTCAGCATTTTCGTTTTGTCGAGATGTGATTCTTATGTGATCCGGTTTCTGTCCTGGCCGATTGCGGCCCTCGATTAACGTTCACAGATTTATCTGAATCTGCGAAAACGCAATT